AGAGAGAGAGAGAGAGAGAGAGAGAGAGAGAGAGAGAGAGAGAGAGAGAGAGAGAGAGAGAGAGAGAGAGAGCCTTCCCTGTCCCGTTCTCTCTGTTAGCCTTCCCTGTCATCATCCTAACGTCACCAGGAGAATGACAGGTATGGTCATTTTCCCGGTATGACCCCGTCACGGTGGTGATATATTCTGGCCTTGTGTTCCTCGTTGTGTGAAAATATTACATAAGACAATTAAATTTTTAAGTTCTTTATACTTGTCACTTTGGAGAGACATCCAGCAATTACTAGTGAATGCATTTGGGTGTGGTAAGGGCTTGACCCGTTTATCGTTCCCACGTGCTCTCTCTCCATTTTTGGATCAGCTGGGAACGATACACGGCTCACCAGTCAGTCAGTCAACGGAAGACTGTTTGTGAGTCAACCTTACATCTTCACCCGAAGAAAGCGGCCCGTTATTATAGCCGTATGTGGTTCTAATTTCAGTCTACATGGAGCGATCATAACGGCGATCATAACGGCGCCGTCTAGTCGGGTGAGTGTGGTAGCTCTGTTGCCCGATGTACTCCCAGCTCTGCTTCCCATTCCTCCCCTCGAGTCCTCGCTGTTGTCTTTCCATCCGTCCCAGGACAACCTGCGAACCTCTCTTCGAAACACGAAGTGGTAATGAAGTGAAACAAACGAAAAACAGACATCAGGCAACAAGGGCCGAAGGGGAATGGGAGGAAAACGATGAGCCGTATTCCTTCTTTGTGGTGTAATCATCTACGCAGCTTCATGACAGTCGACGATTCGCGCACTTGCCGCCGACCTATCACCAAAATCGACCATGGGCGCAGACACCCAGACAGGCACACCCAGTGCGTAGCAGTAAAGGGGCACAGTTTCCACCCAGTACCAGAGATCCCTGCTCACCCGCAGGTTGGGACGACGCTGGGCAAGGAGTGTATGTGAAACCTCGCGCTAGCTGTTGGGTCATGCTCCTGATGGGCCAGCGGCCCGGCGCCAGCACCCGTCGTTGGGACCTTTGCCCTCGCTCATCTGTTCAGATGAGTCCGGGCCTGCCAAAAATCAGTCAGGGTTATAGTCTCCCTAGCACTTATCTAAGTGTATCTGACCACAGTTACGGTCTTAGAAGAGATGTCATAGTGGAGTGTGCTCTGATTGGGAGCTTCGAGGAAGGCTACCTAGGGACGTGTGGTGGAGTGTTGCAGGTGTCCGAGCCCCTCTCACAGAACGAGATGAAATCATGTGGATTTATGCGTGTCATCATATTTTATTTCTTCTTCTTTTTTGATCTCGGAGGGGTGACGTAATTCGTCATGATGTAAATCTTCGCTCTCTCTGCGTCGTTCCAATCATGAACAGCGCTGTTCATGCGGTAGACTGCTTTCGGTAGTCTGTGTGGGATGCTCTGAAAAGTGTATGGGGCTAAGAGAGGGGGGGGCGGGGTTGGTTCTGTCGAAACTCCTTTCGAATTCCCTCTAACAAATTTTGCAAAACTGCCTCGGTCCGAAAGACTGTGGCGAGTCCCTAAGCCTAATGAATATGTGCTGCTGCGCTGGTCTTGTAACTGCTTATTGAGGGTCAACAAATCCCAACAGACCAGACAGTTCCGATTGGGGGAATTACCCGTGAAAAGTAGCCCAATGAGCATGTGCTGATGCGCTTGTACAACTCCGCCGTTCAACCAACCACAACAGACGGTTCCGGTTGGGGCCCTTGGAGAGGCACGTGTGTCGCGATATCGGTTGACTGGTATGTGTGCTACGATACTGGCGGAGAGCACAAATTCGACGTCTGTAAAGACATACAGAGTATATAAAGTGTGACTTTTTTATTATTATTATTATTATTTAACTGATATTCTTCTCTCAATCTATCTATGTACTCTTCTTTCTCATTTATCTCTGGTGATGCGTTTTTTATAAGGGCTTACTGACCACATTTGCGGCCGGGCCTGGACGAATTGGACCGGAATGACGTTCGTATACAAGGAAAAGTACTAGTGTGAACGTGTGAGTATGCCCTGAGGCCCTAAGGTGCAGCGGTCCTTGGACGACCGCATTTACGGCCGGACCTGGAAGAATTTTGACCGGAATGTCGTCTATAAAACAAGGAAAGAAGTCCTAGTCTGATTATGCCCTAAGAAGAATTTACTCCTCTGATGTGCTGGTACAGGTGCAGTTGTCCAGGGAACGGCATTGCGATGTGAAAGCAGTCAGGTAGGGGATCGTGCAGCTGTCCAGGGAACGGCATTGAGTTGTGAAAGCAGTCAGGTAGGGGATCAGGGATCAAGCCAGTCGACGACGGCGGCCTGTCGTTCTGTGGGAACGCCAAGAGAGAGACCGGTTCTATCTTACAGGGCGCTCGCGATGGAATCAGCCGCACTCAGCTCTCGTGCACACCTCCGTTCATCATCCGTGAAGATTGGTTGGGCGACTGGGGTGATGGTTGTTGAGCCGACCAATGGCGTGGGGATCCACTCACGGACGCCGGATGTACCCAGCCCCGTGGTCCTCGTGGACCTGAAGACGAAGGTGGATTCGAAGGGCGCAGGGCGGGGCGGGGCTGACGGTTCGTCCGATTTCTTGATGTCGTCATCAGATGCTCCGCAGGGTAGCAGTGAACCCATGCGAGTTGCGTCGAATGAGAGCGGTCGCAGGTCGAGGTCCCGTCGTTGCCAGCCTCCCCCTGTGGGGATCCCGACCAGGAGGGCTCACCTCGGGGAGGGAATCGTCGCGGGTGGTATAATTCGGCGGCTCTGTCTTCCCGTGGTTGCAACCCGTCAGGATGAGAACCATGACAAGGGCAAGGACGAGTCCCGGTGGAGTTCGACTTTGAAGCGACGGTTCGAGGAGCTGGATCCCAGTCGAACTGGTGCTATCGGGGAGGACGAGTTGAGGAGAGCCGCAGAGAAACTGAGGCTTCCAGTCTCTCACAAGGAGGTGCGGGTGTTCGTGGAGAAGGTTGGCGATAGGGTGACGTTCGACGAGTTTGTCAAGTTCGCCACGGGAATGGAGGACCGCCTGCATGCCACGTTCAGGGAGCTGGATAGACGACACACTGGCATCGTGTCGAAGGAGGATATTCCGGAAGCCCTTAGAAGACTCGACATAAGGCCGAGAAAAGCGTACCAGGACGATCAGTTGGTCAGCCGCAGCGTAGGCAAGGCGCCTTCCCAGGGGTTTGGGTTCGAAGATTTGCGGACGTACCTCCTCTGGGCCAAGGATGCTGAGGAGGTGTTGGATTCGGGGTCACGTGCTCGAGCAGCCATCGACTTCGGTGGGGACTTGGATTGCAACTTGCCCCTCGCTTTGGAGACTCGTGCTGCCAGGCCCAATCTCCGCTTCCCTGAGCTGCAAACGATGAGAGATGTGCTGGCTGCATGCATCTCCGGTGCGGTGAGTCGAACCTTCGTCGCTCCCTTAGAGAGAGTAAAGATCTTGCAAACGGTGGACCCCAGTCTGGCAGTGCAGGACCCTCGGGTCCTATTGGATACCATCCG